CCCATGCTGACCTCTGTCCTCCACCAAAAGTGCCAACAATGGACACGTGAGAATCAGAACTGGACCATGGAGCAATGGAAGAAGGTGGCCTGGTTTTACGAGTTATGTTTTCTGTTACATCATGTGGAAGGCCGGGTGTGTGTGTGTCGTTTACCTGAGGAAGAGATGACACCAGGATGCATTGTGGGAAGAAGGCAAGCCGGTGGATGCAGCGTGATTCTCTAGGCAATGTTCTGCTGGGGAATTTTGGGACCTGACATTCATTTGGATACTACTGACACGTACCAGCTACAGAAACATTGTTGCAGACCAAGTACATCCCTTCATGACAGTAGTATTCCCTGTTGGCAGTGACCTCTTTCAGCAGGTTACTGCGCCCTGCCACACTGCCAAAACTGTTTAGGAATGATTTGAAGAGCGTGAAAAAGAGTTCAAGGTGTTGACTTGGTCTCCAAATTCCCCACATCTCAATCTGATCAAGCATCTGTGCTGGAAAAGCAAGTGTTTTCAATTGATGTCCCACCTTGGAAGGATCTGCTGCTAACAATTTAGTGCCAGATACCACAGGACACCTTCAGAGATCTTGTGGAGTCCAGGCCTCGACAGATCAGAGCTGTTCTGGTGGTATGAGTGGAACCTACACAATATTAGGTAGGTGGTTTTAATGTTATGGCTGATCAGTGTAAATGCATGGGTTTAATAACTAAACATAGGCTTAACCTGAACAAGTGTACATAAAGGAAAAACCTATATTTTTCAAAACATAGGTGAACAAATTATTTATCTCAGTCGTGGTTAAATGCAAATGCATATAAACCATACAATTAACTTCTGATCCAAATAAAGAATTATAAATACCAAAATCCTGTCTATTTTGTTAATGCAATTTCCAAAATATCAGTCAAATTTTTTCTTTCTGTGAAAAATTTAAACTCAGCAATTTATAAACACAAAAAAGAAATGATTGTTCATATTGTTAGGCAGTGTCTGTTTTTGGTGTGCAGATTGGCTAGGAGAGTGAGCCTCCTGCCTGAATGTTATGGTGTCATAAGACCCATAATGACAGCAAACTTCGAGGCGATATTTGAGATTGAACCCTGTGTTGTTAGTGAATGTTTTCAGATCTTAATCACATGTGTTCTTCAGAAAACAAAAGCACAAAATTCCATATTCTCTGACTGTGCAGTTTATCTCCAATTTCTTGAATTCGACACTAGGCAATGCAATGCTTAACTTAATGACCATTTGTGCAAAATGCATCAGGTCCACCACAGGCCTACTGTGTACCTTTGAAGAAGCGTAACCCCTGTGTGTGTCAAGATGACCCAAAGACGAGGCACTTGAGGTCCCACAGGGGAAAGTTGACCAAGATGAACGTCACAAATATACATTGTGGGATACATTACAGTAGAATTATATATAATCACATGAGTAATCTGGGGGTAAAAGAATACAGAAAAAGTTTAGCTGTCAGGACCTAGATGCTGATGATGGATGAAGGTTGTTCTTACACAGATCTGGCAAACATCATCCACTAACAACCCCAAGATGGTTTCCATCGCACTTTTCAAAAGAGGAGTGTCACATGTGAAGTTGGGCATGACCTCCCCTTGTAACAAAAATCAGACACACCCAGCCTCTCTTCTGTTTTCATTTGGGGATCCCTGGTTTTACAAATGCTAGAACCCCCTGAACTAGCCTATAAATCTTTCGTCTCCCATGGAGAGAATAGTACTTTTAGGAAAAGATCTGGAACTTTTGTAAAACATTCTGAAAAACTTTGGATTGAAACACAGCTTAATGAAACTGTGATTTCCAAGAAAGGACAGAGGACATCTTGACTGTTTTTACTTTTGCCTGTGGGTAAAGTGAGTTTCACAGGAAGTCAGGTGCGTCGGCTTTTCGTAGAGAAACCTCCGGGCTGATTTCCAATGATTACTACGCCTACGCTGCGGGCGAAGCACTACGTGGGTGTTTTTCAAAGAGTTTAGAAATGAAAAGACAAAACCACAAAGAGCCACAATATTTTACAGAACGCTGCTTTCAACTTTGGCTGACTAGTGGCTGTTTTCAAAGCCAGGAGCTCCATCTTATGGTAAAACTATTTTGTGTCTCTACATATCAACTACATCACCTGCGATCACCAACACAAATACTCACAGCTATGAATGTTAATCATGTACAGTACAGCAGCTGTGAATTTTAGGAATGACATTACTTTTCTGCTGCTGCACTGATAGCCTACCTAAGATTGTTGCAGATATCTCCAAAACCAAAACCTCTCACCATGTTTGCGGCATAACCCAGTGGAATTTCACTTTGAGTGGTTAGCAGAGCTTGACAATGCGTGTGTTGCCAACAAACCATTTAACAGCATCATTCAAGGCTGTATTATCATATGAACTATCAAACAAGATAAAAAATTGTCATACTAGACCGGACAAATAAGACCGGTAACACAATCAATCAAGCCTTTTCAGTTCTTATCACTAAATCAAATGCTCAGATAGAATTTAAATTCATTCAGGAATGTTAGTTGAATGTCATTTGTTAGCTAGATGGAAAAATGATTTAGTCACGAGCTTCGGGCATCGATCACGATGCGGACACGTGCTTTGAAACCCGCGTGAATTCCAGCACTTTCACGCACTCGATCATTCAGTAAATTCGTCGACTGCCTTCGGCTGTCAGTCTCAATTCCGTCCCTGTATTACTACTATTACTACGATCACTTCAGTACTGCGGCTAGTGTCAAGTTTTGACATGAATATTATACTTTTCAAACCGTTACGTAGCATGCATTACTCAAGGAAGGCAATTTTTCTTCTCCTTCGAAAGGACTCTTTTTACTTCCCACCCAAAATGCCAGGGAGAGCAGAATCGAAATACTAGTTACAGTACATATTCCACATGGTAAAAAATGCTAGTTTGCGTGGAGTCTGTTTAAAACAAAACTGTAAAATAGGAAGCTAAACCTTCGACGGATGCCCCCCCCCAAAAAACCAAACAAACAAAAAAACTTTAAAGATAACATTTCCTATTCCTGCGATTCTTCCCCATCTTATTAAATAAAGGACAGATCCCTATCACAGTATAAACGGTAATACTCACCCTGCATATACTGTATAGCGCCCTCTCCTCCGCCGTTCACTATGGGATGCGCACACGTGCGCGTCTTTTTAACTATCCTGCGTGCTTCACCGCTTCTCTGAACAGCCAGCCTACTGTTCCACTCTCAGAAGCCAGTAATTATATACAAGTATTACGCATTTATTTAAAAACTCATACCAATTAAATTCACGTAGGCCTGCGTCGAAATCTCACATTATAATATTTTATAATATAGATTTAGCGCGATTTTTTTTGCGTGAGCGTGTATGTCACGCCAGATGCGTGAGAGTTGGCAGCCCAGGTATTACTGCTGACATATCGGAAAAAACGATATGGAATTATCTACAAAACTGTAGAGTGACTTAAGGCGACCAGTCACGCATGCTATAAATCCACTTGTTAAAATTAATGAGAAGCACCCAAAGAGCAGATACTGCAGTGAGAAGTTGAGCAGTATTGCACTGATGTCTGTTAGATATGTTTATATCACATAAGCAAAATGCGACAGCTGCATTACACTAAATATAACCATGAGTTTAAAGTGGTATCCTGTCATTATATTTTCTTAGTGTTCATTATATGAAACCGTATCTTCCTTTGTGCGCGGCAGCATCCTGCTTGCGCTGGGTTCTAGGTTGAGATGGATCTGAATCGCTGCCCACATCAAGCGTGGGATACAGTAGGGAGCTATCTTGTGGAACATAATCACTGCTGCAGGTGCTGTTCTGTTCTTCAGTTTGGTTCTGTTCCAGTTCTCACTGGAACCTGCAACTGAACTTTTATTCATCTCACTGTGGTAACAATGAGCATTATAGAAATTCAAGGATGAAACGTGTAACATTATCGGAAAAAGACGACCCCATGCAGAGCCCCCCAGCGTGGCTTCGTGCATAGACCTGCTATCGGACCGGAGAAGAAAATAAACAGGAAACAGACACTAACTTCCTGTGCTTAAAAAAAAATCGACCTGTTTCACATGTCGAGATGCCTCAACTTCAGATTAGATAATGGCGCGTAGAAGGTGATCACCAGCGAGTCACTGTACAGTATGAAATAACCAGATATATGGATCTGACAAAACCAGCCCAAACACAAACCCCACCACAATCAAATGGCCATAAAAATCACCAACAAACCCCAAAAATCACACTTGAAAGAACTGCCCAGCATAGTCTGCTCTTCAAGACGTGGTCCTCCACTAATCAAGACGGGAATATTGACTACTAATGAACATCCCTCTGAGTGTTACAAGACCCAATAAACCAGAGTATGAAAATTAGGAAAACAAAAAAAAACACTCAGCATAACATTTTACGGCACACAATTATACTCTAACTTACATGTACTCAAATCTATACCTAAATACTGCAGGGGATGTTTCACAGTATGGGCAGTTTCCGATGTAAATAAATACAACACAGTTTTTCATGAACTGGTGAAAAAGCTACTGCTGCATCGGAATACATTTTAGTTACTTCTGAGCCGTTTAAGCTCATTGTCGCCATCCAGTGGACAGCGAGGAGGATTCAAATTCCAGCGTGGGAAGGATTTTCATTCGCAGTCAATTACTGTTTCACTAAATGAGTAACAATAATAAAACAACTGCAGCATTAGCTAAGAGCATGTTATAATGTCACCCAGGACTGTGTGACATACAAACACAGCACAGACACCAAGGCTGAGTAGAAACTGTATACTTTAATAGTTCAGCTGAGACATACGGTGGAATGAAAACTTTATTTCTAGACAAAATGGCACTGGGTGCATCTCTCCTGTAAAGCCAGACTGGGAGATCTTCTCACTGTGCTTCAGGGATAGCCCAAACCCACTGACTCTTACATTAGAGCTTATAATAAAGGGCAGATCATTAAATAAAAAAAAAAACAAATAATAATAATCTTCCATTTTTATCCCGTTCCACAGTTTTCAAGGACTGAACGGGTTGCTGAACTTTAGATACCTTCAAATCCCCCCAGTGACACACTTGCCCCCCAGCCCTCAGTCACAGAGGAGGAAACACCCACAGATGCATTCACACATGAAGTGGACAGAGCCTGAGAATCAGAATTACTACAATAGGACACATACTATAGCATTCCGATTGGGATAAATGGTCACTTGCTATAGGATCCACTGCCCGTGTATTCTGGCAAACACACAGACACACACACACAGACACACACACCCCCAAAGCTCCAAGCTTCTTCAAGGCTTCGCTTCCACTGGACCCCAGTTAGATGAGAGTTGGGCATACACTTCACGATCTAGACCACTCACAAGTGGGTGACGGTTTCAACCAATGGGGGCTGGGGGGCAAGACCGCGAAGGGGGTGGGGCCTACTGGGGCAGCTGAAGCAGCGTGCTCTGGCCCGAGGGCAGGTAGGTGACGTTGCGGGAACGGGAGAGCTGGAAGGCGATGTCCTCGG